TTTTGACACCTGATTTTGGGAAGGTCCTAGAACCTCCTCTATATTGGTTTTTCGTTTTTTCCTTTGGTTTTTGTTTCTTTTTATATTTCCCTTTTTTATTTTTTCCATTTTATTTTTCATGTTCATCTTTCCCTCTTTTTTTCTAGTTTGTTTGTTTTATTTTATTTTTTTCGTTTTTAGTTATTTTTCCTTTTCCATTTTTTGAACATTTTTTATTCATATTTGCAAACTTTTTTGACATAATATTTTCTAAAATTTAAACATTTTTGGAACTCGTGAACATTTTTTTGGAAGCCATGGCATGTTTCAAATTAACGAATATATTTATAATTATTGTAAACTTTTTTTGACTTGTGAATTGTTTTTGAAACTTGCGAACATTTTCTTGAATGGGCAAAGTTTTGAAACTTGTGAACATTTCATGAATCGATGAATTTATTTTTGAACTGGTGACTTATTTTGAACCTATGAATAGTTTTTGAAGCAGCGAATATGTTTTGAATTGGCAAAATATTTTTCAATCAATGAAATGTTTTTGAATCAGCTAACATCTTTTGAATTGAGGAACAATTTTTGTTTGATGAACATTGTTTTGAAATACATGAATAATCTAAATCAGTGATTTTTTTTAGAATCAATGAATATTCTTTTGAATGGGAAAATATTTTTTTCAACTAATGAACAGTGTTTGAAGCAGCGGACATTTTTTGAATTGATGATCATTTTTCTGAATTGGAAAACATTCTTTGAATAGATAATTTTTTTTGAATCGCCGATCATTTTTTGAATCGATGAACTTATTTTTATTGGTGAACATTTTTTGAACCATGTACAAGTTGAATTGGTGAACAGTTTTTGAATCGATTAAATTTTTTTTGAACCAACATCACTTCTTGAAACGACGAAATTTTTCTGAATCAGCGAATATTTTTTTTACTCGATGAACATTTTCTGGCACCGGCGAACATTTTTTTGAATCGGTGAATAGTATTTGAAAAGATGAACTGTTTTTGTTTTATGTTTTTTTGAAATGCATGAATATTTTGAATCAGCTAACATATTTTGAATCGATGAACTTCTATATAATTCATAATCATTGTTTATTTTTGTGAAAAACCGATGAACATTTTTGAATTTGAATTTTTTTTGTTCAAATTCACGATTTTTTTTCAAATACGCGAGCATTTTTCAGTAATCATGAAAGTTTCTGAGTATACGAACATTTTCTGATTTTTGGTATATTTTTTCCAAAATCCACATTTTTTAAATTGGAACTTTTTGAAATCCTGAATTATTTTAAACATGAAAAGTTATAAAAAACAAAAATAAAAATAAACTAAACTAAAAACTGCCGGGGTCCCCTTCCCGCTGTTAGGCAAGGCCAATAGTATGCTTGTTTCCCAGCGCGCCGCGTGCTAAATAGGAGCCCCGGTCTTCCTGCGCTTAGTCCCTCGAGGGCCCAAGAAGGATCTCACAGGGTCAATTGTTGCGTCCAGTGGTTCGCGACGACTATTTCTTGCTTTAAGTGAGCCCTAAGCTAGCATCGTTGAAGGTTTTTAAATTCTGTAGGTAACTGGATCGGCCTGTGTCCCATGTTGCTCCGCTTTTAAAAAAGGGGAAGGAAATGGGAAGCAATGAATTAGGATCGGCCTGTGTCCTACTCCCTCCGTTCGGAATTACTTGTCGCAGAAATGGATGTATCTAGACGTATTTTAGTTATAGATACATCCATTTCCGAGACAAGTAATTCCGAACGGAGGGAGTAGTTTGCAGGGTGACGCGTAGCTCTCGTGGGCGCTTCTATTCTTCGCGTTCAGCGAGACCTTGGGGAGCACTCGCGTCGAGAGGCAGCTGCACATGGGTCGGCCCAGGTTTGCTTGAGGGCCCATTCTCAGTCTTTTTTTTACGTTTTCTGTT